AGTGCTAGGGACTGAGCCCAGGGCCTCATGAATGCTAGGCAAGCAAGCTACCACCCATCCTGCTTTGTAAATAAACTTCCCTAGGTAGCACCCACCCACCCCCTTGTTCACACAGACTGTGGTTCATTCCATGCAACAAAGGCATAGATAAGCTGTTAGACAGAGGCCTAAAATAATTATGACTTGGCCTTTACAGAAAAAAAAAAAAAAAATCACAACGCCCCCGTAATCTAAACAGTCTCCACCCCTGCAAGATTTTTGTCCCATATTCTTACAATCCCTTTGAAGAACAATCTCCAGAGCCCCTCCTCCCCCGACACAGTGAGTCTTCCTGTTGGAAACACCCCACTCTCACCCTTATAGACCTCAGTGAGGGTAGAGCCCTTTCCAGGAGCATGACTGCTGGTGACGCAATCCAAACAGACTTTCTATGTATCCAAAAAGAGGAAAGGACCAGTTGGGAAACCAGAAACCAAGCACAATTCCAACCTTCCAGTACAGGTCAGCCCAGCAACCTGCTGGCCGCTGGAATCTTCTCAGCTGAATTAACCATTCAGGGTCTTCGTCCCCAGGACATCCCCTACTCCCACCTTCTAGGTTGTGGTCATCAGTTCACAAATGTATTGGCCTCAGCCCTTCTCCCCACCCTCTACTGGACACCAGAGCTGTAGAGATGACCATAGTGGGCCATCAATGTGACAGGCCATCCATGTGACAGGCCATCCATCATGGCTCAGCCTCTGATGAGGGCTACAGGCAAGGTACCAGGCATTCCAGGCAGAATGACATGCTGGGATGCAGGCAGGTACAATGCTGAAGGGCAGGGAGAGAGTTAGACCCGTGACTGGACTGTAGGAATATGCTTCCTGGAGACAGTGTCATTTGGGCTAGATCCTGAAGGCTGATCAGGAAGCAACCCCACAGGAGGAGGAGAGCATGCACCAGGAGGAGAACTGTGTAGCTGGTGAAAAACCAAACTAGCCAGAGGCTGAATGACTAGAGGGGACTGCAGGGGAAATGCAGCCAGAACTCCAGCCTGACAGGGCCATGGACACTTGGCAGCCACTGGAGACTTTCTCCAATGCAGGAACAGAGCTGCTACCTGGAAGTTAATGATGAAAACTCTGCCCCAAATTCCTCGCCCACATTGGGTTTCATGATCCACAGGGACTAGTGCTGGGTGTGGAGGGCCGGCGGCGGGGGGGGAGGTCTCCAGCTAATGGACTGAAGCTGGGAAGACAGCGTGAGAGGGAGCCTAGAACAGCCCTCTCTGTCTTGTTGAAACACATCAAATATGTATGTATCAAAACATTTATCTTTGTGTTACAGTTTAGATGCTTACATATTTTTAACATGCAATTTATAAAACACTCCTATAAATATAACTATATACTGTGAAATATACATTGTTATATGATGATGGTTTTATATGTTTAATATATCATATGCTATTATATATTAATACAACATTGCATCAGATGTATGAATATGGGGCTTTTTGTTGTTGTTTCGGGTTTGGGTTTTTTTTTTTTTTTTTTTTTTTGGTCTTTTTGAGACAGGGTATCCTGTAGCACCAGCTGGACTGGAACTCACTATGTAGACCAGGCTAGCCTTGAACTCACAGAGATCCGCCTGCCTCTGCCTCCTGAGTGCTGGGACTAAAGGCATGCGCCACCATGACTGGCCTATGAATATGTTTTCAAATTTATTTATTTAAAATGTTTTATTATTTTTATTTTATGTGTATGAGTGTATTGCCTGCATGTATGTGAGTGCACCCGTGTCGTGCAATGCCATGGACGTGAGAAGAGGGCTTCGGATTCCCCTGGAACTGGAGTTAAGGACAGCTCATAGCTGCCACGTGGGTGCTGGGAATCAAACCCGGGTCCTCTGCAAGAGCAGTCAGTGCTCTTAACCGCTGAGCCATCTCTCCAGCCCCAAAATTTATTTTTATTTGTTGCAGTGTTTTGCTTGCATCTAAGTGCACACGGCTCATGCAATACCTACAGAGGCCAGAAGAGGGCATCGAATCCCCTGGAGCTGGAGTTATGGATGGTTGTTAGCTACCATGTGGGTGCTGGGAACTGAACCTGAGTCCTCTGCAAGAGCAGTCAGTGCTCTTAATTGCTGAGACATTTCTCCCGCCCTGTGAATATGTTTATGTCAATACAGTCTAAAAACATGTATGATAACATATGATGTATTTTTTAAAATGTGTACTAAGCCCTGACTTTTGTTGTTGGTCACTCCAAACACAGAAACCACAGGAGTAAGACATTTTATTGAGGTCTTAGTTGCTGAGACCAGGAGACCCAAGTTCCTGGAGCTCTGAACCTGTGCTCTGAAGACAATGGGGTAAATAGATGTTTCTTTGGACAGTCAGAGCTGATTCCTGTGATACAGATTTCTTGGCAGAAAAGTTCTGCCTAAACGCTAAGAACAGGGGCCAGGGAGAAATGAAAGATAAGGAAAAGGGTGGATGTGCAATATGGGAACATTTGTAAATCAAGAGTACAGGAACACAGATCGCTCTGTTGCCCAGGCTAATCATGAATCTTGAGCTCAGATGACTCCCCTGTCTCAGACTTCTAAGTATCCAGGACTACACATACATACCAATATTGACTGCATGTATGTAAGTGCACTGTGTCATGCAATACCCATGGAGGTCAGAAGAGGGCGTTGGAGTCCTTGAAACTGGAGTTACAGATGGTTGTTAGCCACAATGTGGGTGCTGGGAACTGAACCCAAGTCCTCTGCAAGAGCAGTCCATGTTCTTACCCACTGAGCCATCTCTCCAGCACCCTATTTTATTTTATTTTATTTTTTTGAAACAGGGTCTCCCTGTAGCCCCAGCTGGCCTGGAACTCATTGTGTAGACCAAACTGGCCTCCATCTCACAGAGATCTGCCTGCCTCTGTCTCCTAAGTCTGGGACTAAAGGCATGTGTCACCATGCCCCGCTTTTTAATATTTTTTAATTAATTTACTTTTATATTACGTGTGTAAAGGTTTTGCACTTATGTATGCAAATGCACATATGACTACAATGCTCATGGAAGCCAGAAGAGAGCGCTGGATCCCCTGGAACTGTAGATATAGATGGTTGTAACCACTATGTGGGTGCTGGGAACTGAACCTGGGTCCTTTGCAAGAGCAGCCAGTGCTTTTAACCGCTGAGCAGCCCCATTTTTTTTCTTTTAATTTTAATTTTTTTGTGTGTGGTGATAGGATAGAACCCAGGGTCTTACATAGGCTAGGCAAGAGATCTACCACTGAGCTTCTCCCCCAACCCCACCCCACTCCCTGGCGGAGTCTAGGCAAGCACTCTACCTCTGAACTGGTATACCTTGTGTCTCTGGGCTCAGCAATCATTCAGTGTTCCAGAAGCCTGTGGCGGACAGGTGAGGGTGACCAAAATTCACATTCAGGTAGCTGCTGGAATCACTCATAGGTCCAGCTTCCTACTGGCCTCAGTTCCACACTAAAAAGCTCTTTCCTGGTGGCTTTCAGAATGACTTCCCTTCTGATTTAAGTGTTTTAACATGATGGGGAAACTGTGATGACACTGAGCCCCAAAGCCACACCACCAGGTGGCAATTTATTTCTTTACTCACATCTACTCCATCCTGTAGGTTAACCTGGGCCAGGATCCCTCTTTGAGCCTGTTTACTAGATCTGGGAAAAAAGACTAGGAATGCCATCTGCTGCTCAGAAAGACCAGAGTGACACCAGCCAGCAGTCCAGAGGCTCTGTGGGGACCTGGCACCTTGCAGAGAATGCTTCATGGAATGCCACAGGGGTCTCTGCTTCTTTAGTCTTGTGAAACCGAAAGCCCTGAATGAGTGAGAAGCCCTCCTTGCAGCACCCACTCACGGAGGAACCCAACTGGAGGTGACATGCGGTCATTTCCAGGATGACCTGCCCCTCTCAAGCTGAGTCATGCAGATGCCTGGAAATTCTTGCTTTCCATTTGCACAGAACGTTCTCAGGCCTCATCTCAAACCATTGTAAGTCACCCTTGCGTCCTTTAAAGGTGAACACTTCTACCTACCATCCATCCATCCATGGAGGGGAACAGGGACATTTATTGAACACCTACTATGTAGCGAGCACCATGAAAAGTACTACCTGGTCCCCAGTCAACGTCAGTCCCTCCAGCTCTGCTCCCCATTTACACAGTAGGAACAAGGTTCTGGTGACTTAACGTGAACCTGTTTAGGACCCAGCAAGTGGCAGACAACCTTGTGTATGATGCTTAGCATTTCACCGTCAATGGAAAACTTGGAGTGCTGCTAACCTCTAGGTAGTGGTGGGCTCTCCCTCCAGCCACTGACCCCAGCCTCATTTGGGGTACCATGGGTGGGTAAGTTCATCTCTCTGAAGCCTCTGGGTCCTGATAGTCATGATGCAGCCCCCAGATTTTTTCCCACAACCCCAGGAAGCTAGGAGTCCTTCAGAGTCACAGACCACCCAACTCTCCCCAGCATATCATTCTCTGTCCCTTCTGCTCCTTGTACTAAGTGAAGTAGACATCTGCTTAACAGTCACAAACCAGAGCTCAAATTTTACCTTTATTTCCTGCCTAGCACTGAAGCTGGACCCTGGCAGAGGATTTATGGATTTTTAATGTGCCTGAATGATTGCTTTATGGTTTCTATTTTTACATTTTTTAGATTTATTAATTTTTGTTTTTCTATGTACATAAGTACAATAGCCTACATGTATCTAAGTACACCCTGCATATATGTAAGTGCAGTGTCCATTGAGGCCAGAAGAGAGCATCAGATCTTCTGGAACTGGAGTTATAGATGGTTGTGAGCCACTCTGTGGGTGATGTGGGTGCTGGGAACCGAACCTGGGTCCTCTGCAAGAGCAGTCAGTGCTCCTAACCGCTGAGTCATCTCTCTAGCTCTGTTTTATGGTTTCTTAAGCCTGCTACACTGTTAGGCAATTCCTAGTATGGTCTGGAGAGACACATACTTCTTGTTGAAGCCTATCTGTTTGTTTGTTTGTTTGTTGAGATAGGGTCTTCTGTGTAGCCACATTGACCTTGAACTTAAGATCCTCCTGCCTCAGCCTGGGGTTACTGTATTGGAAAGTTTTGGAATCTTTAAGGAGTTGGAGTCTAGGTGTAGGAAGTGGACCTGGGGGTTGGGGTGGATGACTTTGAGGTTAATAGCCCTGCTCATTTCCTGTCCTATCTTGACTTCCTAGTCCCCAGAGCTGTAAGGAAGGAGCCTCACCATTCCTGTCACCACAGCCTGTCCCCACCTCATTGCCTTCCTCCCATAGCAGCTTCTTATCATGTATTTGGATACAGTAATGAGAAAATTAATGCACAGCATAATAATGTAATGATGATGTTGCTGTCAAAAGGCTGGGCTCATCTGGGCCCATGCCTGAGAGACAGAGGCAGGAGGATTGAGAGTTCAAGGCTATTCTGGACTATAACAAGATCCTATCTCAAAAATACAAGTAAATTTACTATTTGTTGTTTTTCTTTTAAAAGGCTTGGGTCCCTTCTGCACAGACCTGCACCCAGGGGGCCAGGCATGCTGAATGTAAGCCAGCCAAGGCTAACTCCTGGTGTTGTGTTAAAACTGATGTTATCTTTTCCATGTGACCCTGGTGAGAAAGATATTGTCTTCATTTCACAGACCAGACCAGCTGAGGTCCAGAGACACTGCATAGCCAGTATAAGGTCATGCAGCTAGTAAGTGGCAGTGTTGGGATTTGGAGGCATCTCTTCACACTCTTTCAGATCTGCAAGCTCAGCCTGTCATTCCTCATCAAGCTGTGAGCTTCCCCACCCTGGAGAGAGAGAAGACATTTATCGTTAGAGCTCATGACCTACGTTAGACTGTAGCTGGCTTTCAGGGAACACCATGGACCTCTGACAAATTCAGAAGGGGCCCACTCAGCCAGGCTGGAAGATGAGGAGGCTATCAGCCTCCTGTGAATTCAGGGTAAGTGATCCATCACATTCCAACAGCTGAAGTGACACCTCAATCAGCCACTGTTAGTCACCCACTGGCTATGGTGCTGCTGTTCTTTTTATAACTCTAAGCAGCTGAGCCCAGCTGGGCCCTTGGGCAGCCCCACATTTTCAGCTCCCAGGCCTCAGAGATGTTTTTGGCAAGACCTCCAGCTCAATTAGCCAAGTCAGCTCTGGGAAGCTAGGAAGCAGTGGGGTGGGAACCAGGTCATAAGTTCCTCCCAGGGCCCCTGACTCAGTTACCAGCTGGCTACTTTAGGGCCAGTGAAGTTCAGCAGAAGTTCTGGGTGGAGCTCTGCATAGAGATTCAGGAAGATGAGGTCACAGAGAGAGTAAAGGGCATGAAGAATTAAAGTACATTGTGAAGACCCAAATCCAGATGGTGCTAAAAATGACCTCTAGATTGCATGTTACAAGATGCAAAGTCAGGGCCCCTAGGCTAGAGTCCCACAGTCCACTGAAAATGGCCAAGAGGAGCTTCCTTTCCATCGGAAGAGCTGACCTCAACTGAGTTCCCAAAATAGAAGGGTTGGACAGCCAGCCCCCCGGCCAGAGAACAGCCAGAGGCAATGGCTCCTCCCTGCAGACTGAGCACCCCATGACCTCACCTTACATACTGAGGTGTGAACACCCAGGAAGGCTGGGAGAAAATGAGGACTTGTTTATTCAATCTCCAGTGATTAGCTTAAGTAGTGAGAAACACATGTTATTAATATTCAGAAAGTCATATTCAAGACCCACTTTGGGTTTAGGATCTCAGGAAGAAATGTCAGTGATGTAGGTCCAGCGGCCAATCCTGCTTTGAGTTTTGGCAGCCCTCTGACCTCCTGGGCTCAGTCTGAACCGTCCTGCATTCTCTATCAGCTCTGGTGTTAGCCACTGAGTGAGGTAAATTCCTGCACTGGTCTGGGGAGAAAGCTGCTGCTCTTTAAATGATCATGAACTTACCTCTGAAGCTGAAGTTGTTCTTTCTTTTTTGTTTCAGCTAAAACTCTTTGGAAAAACTTATAAGGAACCACCTAAGGTCACAGTGTCACTCTGAGTCATTCCTTTCAGGCAAACCTGAAGTCAACTTGACTCATTGCAATACTGAACTGAGCATGCCCAGTAGTATTTATGTCTGCCATGTTTCCTTTTGGAACACATGTTCTATGACTTGGAACTGAGCATGCCTAGGAATGTGTCGGCCATCTTTCCCATTGGAGCATGGAGCTCTATGACTTTGAACTGGGCATGCTCAGAAGTGCCTTCCCCTACATTTGCTTTCTTATATGGATATGTATAGACTTCCTGGGACTTCCTTGGTGCCTAGAGAGCATTGCTTTGCAAATAACCCCAATGTTCTCCTTACTTGCTGTACGTAATAAACCTATCCCCATCTTTTATCTCCTGGCTGAGCTTTTTGGCTCTGTGCTTGCCAAGATGCAAACCCATTGAGTTCACTTCTTGGTTCTGTTTGCAAGAGACTAAAGAATAGCCAAAGTTATCCCACACCTTTCATCCCAGCACTTGGGAGGCAGAGGCAGGTGGATCTCTTTGAGTTTGAAGCCAGCCTAGTCTATGTAGCAAGTTGTGGGCCAGTTAGGACTACATAGGGAGACCCTGCCTCAAAAAAAAAAAAAAGTCAAAATGGCATCTGGGCAGGTTGTTCCTGTCTTGTCTCCTGCTTGGCAGCCTTATGGAAGGAGGGACCCTGTGGGTGGGAACATTCATTTCAGACACATATGGGCCTTCTTATACCTCCCTTCATGACCTCCAAGAGGCTCTCCCAGAAAGTCCTGTCTCCATTGACACCCTCCTTTTTGCCAAAACTGTAAGAACTATGAAGGGTCTGGGATGTTACTCTACTAATCTAGTTTCCTAATGGAAGTCACTAACCTCCTAGGTCAGAAGCCAAAGACTCTGGGGATAGCAGAAGTGTGTGAGACCCATGGTCCAAGCCTCATGGGAATAATTTGGAGACAGGCCCAAGTGAATGCTGTACACATGACTGTGTCGCAGCTGAGGAGCCCTGAGTTTTGGAGGCCCTTGATCTTATTAGGGGACTGTTAGCAAGCGTTCCCAATCATTGCTGGGAGGCGGACACAACAAACAAATCTGCTGTCTACCCTGAAAAGAGATAAGATGTTTATCTCTGAGGACCCACTTCTTATGTAAAAATCCTTGAAAAGATATTCTGAGACAGAAGGTATGACAAGACAGACTGACAAATCCATAGAGGGAAATGCAAGTCAGAGAACTGAGAGGCAAGAGACAGCCTATCTCCTTAAGTTCACAGGAAAGGTGAGCAGTGGCATCGGCCCTGAGTCCTACAATCAGCCAGAACACTGAGAAACAGGATCAGAGACAATCCAGGGCCAAGCAGTGGGGGAGCCAGATACCTAGGGTCAAAGAGAAGGGAAAAGACTGAGGGAGGAAAACCAAACTAATAAGGGGGCGGGGCACTGGGGGGCAGCCTCTGACTTAGGCCACTGCACCTCTCCCATCCCTCTTGGTGTTTATGATAGAGGATCCTACCCTTGGAACGTCTCTTGCCCCAAGGCCCCTCATTATTTCCCTGATCCTAACAAGAGAGAGGACTTCAAAAATTCTGATATGACCCAACTGACAGGAACCTGAAGGCTCCACAAATTCCATAATTCTCTAGAGGTTGAACGCCAAGGTTTTGGAATCAGACTGGCCTAGTTTCAATTCCTGGGACAGACACAAAGCACCAGGTGGCATGGTGCAGGTGATCCCATCTCCAATGCCTCATCTTTCCTCTCAAAAAAAAAAAAAAAAAAAAGTCATGGGGGTTGGAGAGATGACTCAGTGGTTACGAGGACTGGCTGCTCTTGCAGAGGACCCAGGTTCAGTCCCAGCACCCACATGGCGTCTAACAGCGGTCCATAACTCCAGTTCCAGGTGATCCTACACCCTCTTCTAGCCTCCGAGGGCATTGCATGCACAGGTGCACTTAAATATATGCAGGAAAAGCAGTTATACACACAAAATAAAAATAAATTTTTTTGGTCTTTTTGAGACAGGGTCTCCCTGTAGGCCCAGCTGACCTAGAACTCACTATGTAGACCAGGCTGGCCTTGAATTCACAGAGAATCACCTGCCTCTACCTCCCAAGTGCTAGGATTAAAGGCATGCACAAATGAATAAAAATTTTAAAAGATGTAATAAAGAATTAAAAAATAATAATAATGGTATCCACCCACGAGGGGCCTTGTAAAGACAAATTGGTCATTTCGGGGTCATGCTCCACCATCACAAAGTAGTAGACTCACTATCAAGGGTTGCTACCGTTGAGCAGCTTTTCCGGTGGGAAAATGGAAGGCAGAAAGTGGGGTGAGCTGAATAAGGTCACATTGCAGAGGAAATAAGTTCTGATTTTCCATCCTGTCCAGCGTACCCACACCCACCAGGGCTGCCCTACTGGCCAACTGCACTTTCTTTTATCTGTCTTCTCTTCTGTCCCATCTCAGTAGCCTTACAGGCCTGAATGGACACTAGGTACATTGACAGAGTAATTACACACTGTGCCAGGTTTGTCTCTGTCACATCAGGGTCTGGAAGAGCTGCAGAGAGACAAGCAATGCTGATGAAGGTCTGACGCCAGTTTGAGCCCTAGCACTGAACAGCTCTGTGACGTAGGGACTGTTTCCATGTTCACTATGATGGTTGGACTTAATTGTCAACTAGATGGGAGACACATCTCTGGGTGTGTCTGTAAGGGTGTTTCCAGGAAGCTTTAACAAAGTGGGAAGCCACTCCCTCAAAGTAGACCAAATCTTCCAATGGGAGTTCCAGATAGAAAGACCAAGGCCAATGTGCAAAGAACAAGAGGCTGCAGAGTTCTTATCCCTGAATAGGACACCTATTTCTAACCTCTGCCTCCCAAGACTCAGGGATCATTACGGAAGAGGAGGTGGAAAGATTGGAAGAGCCAGAGGGTATGGATGACCACAAGGAAACATTCTCCAGACAGCTGGTCATTTACTCATACGAACTCACAGGAATGGTGACAGCATGTACAAGTCCTAGGCAAGCTCAAACCACACAAAATCCCAGCCTAGACATGGGGAAGTGGGTGAGAAATCCCAACCCAACCCAAGGGACTTTGGGCAATTGATGGCTGATGGAAGGGGAATAGACAGTGTCTTACAGGGATGAGACTCTTGGTGAGCCCAGAGGATGGACCCATACTGAAGGACATTTCGGGACACAAATCAGACTCTATAGGCCATATTATATATGTATTCATATATATGTATATGTATATATGTATGTATATGTACATATATAAAATGAGAATTCATATATATATATATGAGAGTTCATTAAAT